TCCCTCTAAGCTGCTGAAAAGCTCAGAAATGTGCAGCAGGGGCTGGAGCTCAGCCTGAGTTCTGACTGAATGTGGGAGGTGGGTGCTGGGACGGTTGGGAGCTCAGGCTGCATGAACCCACTTCCTGGGTTTAAAAATGGGCTGTTCACCTGCCAGCTGTGTGCCCGGGGCAAGGCCTTCTTTGCCTCTCTGAGCTTTGGTTTCCCTGTGTGCGGAACAGAGATGAATCACAGGCCCTGCCCCACAGAGTGACTGGAAGATTCAGTGTGATAATTTGTGTGGAGGGCTGTCATTTCTTTGAACCCCTCCCACCAAGGTGTGGGGTGATGTCCCCTTGCCCTGAGCCTGGGCAGGTGCCTCTGGCAGGAATGGCGAACAGGACACCGCAGGAGCAGTGCTTTGTGACTCTGGAAGCCGGGGCAGAAAAGGACATCGTGTCCATCTGACTCTCTCTGGAAATGCACCCTTGGAGCCCTGAGCACTGCATAGAAGCCAGCTGGGTCCCCAGGGAGCGACCGTGGCAGGGATTCCTGGAGGGTCCCTGCCGAGTCAGTCCCACAGCAGGGCCCAGCCCAGCCTGGAACCAGGAGAGATGATGGGGACTACGTGACTCTGGTCTTTCCTGCCCTAGTTCAGGACAGTTTGTTCCTTAACTGCAGGAAACCAGCAAAGCAGCCGGGGAGCTGCAGTGAGCCCGTCCCTGGGTGAGGACTGCTGAGTTCTTGTGGGTGAGTGGCAGAGCTGGGATTTGAAGCCAAGGCCATCTGCCCTTGAGCCTGAGGCCACCACAGCCCCGTCCTGCCCTGCACTGCCCTCCAATAAGGAGTTAGATTCAACCACACTTCTAGCATTTTCCATCACAAGGCCATCATTCTAAAGTTTCATGGACTCCCAAAAGGTGATAGCTCTCTCTGGGAATCAGCTGACTGAAAGCACCCGTAGCAACAAAAAGCGATTTTAACCTCAGTGATTGGGCTGGTGGATTTTCGTTTCGTGACGGGCAGCAGCAGCCTGTGTATTCCACAGCAGATGTGTGTGTGTGAGGGCTGGCCACAGCTGGGCCTTGAACTCAACTGCACGTTTAACCAAGAACCAGACAAGATCCTTATTCTATTACTGCAAGCTCTGCCTCCCGGGTTCAAGCAATTATCCTGCCTCAGCCTCCTGAGTAGCTGAGATTACAGGCATGTGCCACCATGCCCAGCTAATTTTTGTATTTTTAGCAGAGATGGGGTTTTGCCACGGATTCTCCAGCTGTCGCCCAGGCTGGAGTGTAGTGGTGCCATCTCGGCTCACTGCAACCTCCGTCTCCCGGGTTCAAGCAATTATGCTGCCTCAGCCTCCTGAGTAGCTGAGATTACAGGCATGTGCCACCATGCCCAGCTAATTTTTGTATTTTTAGCAGAGATGGGGTTTTGCCATGTTGGCCAGGCTGGTCTTGAACTCCTGACCTCAGGTGATCTGCCCACCTCGGCCTCCCTAAGTGCTGGTATTACAGCTGTGAGCCACCACGCCCGGGCTACTGTGGATGTTTAATATCTCCATTTCACAGGTAGGAAGCTGAGGCTCAGAGTTGCACAGCTCAGCAGTGGTGGATCAGGGCTCTGGACCCGGGAGTCCAACTGTAGGGCTCTCTGATACACTGTGCTATGGGAGAAGCTCCCGGAAGTCCTAGGCTAGGAGCCTCTAGACTAGAGGGTTGTTCAAGTCTCTTCCCACTCCCTGACCCATGAAGCACAGACTCTTTCCCCCAAGGCTGGTCCTTTTACCTCCTAAGGTCTTTTTTTTTTGAGACGAGTCTCGCTGTGTCACTCAGCCTGGAGTGTAGTGGCACAATCTCGGCTCACTGCAACCTCCACCTCCCAGATTCAAGCAATTCTCCTGCCTCCGCCTCCCAAGTAGCTGAGATTACAGGCACCCGCCACCATGTCTGGCTAATTTTTGTATTTTTAGTAGAGATGGGCTTTCACCAAGTTGGCCAGGCTGCTCTGGAACTCCTGACCTAAGGTGGTTTGCCTGCCTTGGCCTCCCAAAGCATTGGGATTACAGGCGTGAGCCAGGGCACCCAGCCTCTTAAGGTCTTTTAATTTATCAAAGGTCTAACTTGGCCAGGTGCGGTGGTTCACACCTGTAATCCCAGCAATTCGGGAGGCCAAGGCAGGTGACTCACTTGAGGTCAGGAGTTCAAGACCAGCCTGTCCAACATGGTGAAACCCCGTCTCTACTAAAAATACAAAAATTAGGCAGGCATAGTGGTGGGCACTGGTACTTCCAGCTACTCGGGAGATTGAGGCAGGAGAATCACTTGAACCTGGAAGGCGGAGGTTGCAGTGAGCTGAGATTGCGCCATTGCACTCTAGCCTAGGCGACAGAGAGAGACTCAGTCTAAAAAAATAAAATAAAATAAAATAAAATAAAATAAAACAAACAATCTCTTTATTTTCAGCTGAGGAGATGAGCCCAGAGATCAGCATCAGGACTGAGTCCCCAATGGCACTTCCTCCCCTGTCCCTGGCATCATTCCTCCCCTGCGGTTTGCCTAAAAAATTCTCACTTACCCCATGGGGAAGAAATGCTCCAGAACCTTCCCCGGGAGGAACACAGCCCTTGGGTAAAGGGTCCTTCACAGCCAACTCTTTTCTTTCCCATCAAGAGGTGGGACCACCTGGAGTGGGATGTGGCTGCTGGCGGGGAAAACATCCCCTCCCCAGGTTTCCTCTGGCTGTGGAGCCGTGCAGAGGAAGAGGATGGGGCGTCAGAGCTCTCAGAGCCGTGGCCTCGTGGAGTTCCTGAGCAGGCAGATGGGGCGGCAGGGGGTGATCTTGTCCCAATCCCAGGAGGCCGCCCCAAAGCCAGCATCAAGGCGAAGGCCACGCACAGATCAAAAGGCTCCTTGAACCGTGAGGAAGGGCTGGCCCCAGCTCCAATTGGACCAGCCCGCACCATTGTTAACACAGGTTGAAGCCTCATCCGTCCGTACATCTGAGGCTTGCATTGACTCCTTCCGCCCTGGAATTCTTTTGTTTGCTGCTGAATAAATAAACTACTTTTCTTTGGAATTTCCCCTTCTCCCTCAAAGCCTTTTCTCAGCTGATCTTGGAGAAACGCAACACTCTTGTCCCAGCCATCTTTTCGAGCTGTGCTGGATGCAGGGAAGCGTATGGAGAGATGGACGGAGAGCTGTGGTTTGGGCAGGTTTCTCTCTGCCCTTGGGCTTGGGGTCGGATAGGGACTGTTTTAAGTTCCTTCCCAAGGAGAGTGCTGGGTGGTACACGGGTCAACATTCGTATGTTATTACTTAGGGATTTGTTTCAATGTTTTAAAACAAATTTTATCATTAGTGAATATCATCACCCAGAACAAGGCTAAAAATTTTTCGAGCTAATCAATTTAAAGAAAAATATTAGATTGGACGCGGTGGCTCATACCTGTAATCCCTGTAATACCTGTAATTTGTGGATCATGAGGTCAGGAGTTCAAGACCAGCCTGGCCAAGATGGTGAAACCCCGTCTCTACTCAAAATACAAAAATCAGCTGGACGTGATGGTGGGCACCTGTAATCCCAGCTACTCGGGAGGCTGAGGCAGAGAACTGCTTGAACCCAGGAGGTGGAGGTTGCAGTGAGCCGAGATCACGCCACTGCACTCCAGCCTGGGTGACAGAGTAAGACTCCATCTCAAAAGAAAAAAGAAAAAAAAGAAAGGAAGAAAAAAAGAAAGAAAAATATTAAATAGATAGGCTGGGCACAGTGGTTCACGCCTGTAATCCCAGCACTTTGGGAGGCCGAGGCAGGTGGATTACCTGAGGTCAGCAGTTTGAGATCAGCCTGGCCAACACGGTGAAACCCCATCCCTACTAAAAAATACAAAAATTAGTCGGGTGTGGTGGCACACGCCTGTAGTCCCAGCTACATGCGAGGCTGAGACAGGAGAATTGCTTGAAACTGGGAAGCAGAGGTTGCAGTCAGCCGAGCTCACACCACTGCACTCCAGCCTGGGTGACAGAGGGAGACTCCTCAAAAAAAAAGAAAGGGCCGGGCACGGTGGCTCACGCCTGTAATCCCAGCACTTTGGGAGGCCGAGATGGGCGGATCACGAGGTCAGGAGATCGAGACCATCCTGGCTAACACGGTGAAACCCCGTCTCTACTAAAAATACAAAAATTTGTCGGGTGGTGTTGGGGGCGCCTGTAGTCCCATCCACACGGGAGGCTGAGGCAGGAGAATGGCGTGAACCCGGGAGGCGGAGCTTGCAGTGAGTGGAGATTGCGCCACCGCACTCCAGCCTGGGCAACAGAGTGAGACTCTGTCTCAAAAAAAAAAAAAAAGAAAGAAAGAAAGAAAAATATTCAGTAGAGAGTAGTCCCATTGGTAGGCAGACATGTCAAATGTTTTCAGGATCCTGCCTGCATGGCTGAATTTTGGGAACTTCTATCAAGCCCAACACCCTTGTTTTATGAAGAAAGAAACAGGGTCCCAGAGCAGTGGTGATGCATTCGAAGTCAGAGAGAGCCAGCTGTGGACACACGAGCGTCAGCCCCGTGGAATCATGTTTCCAGAACTGGAATCACGGCCCCTCGGCGCGGCTCTTTCCACTACACTGTTCCTTTTTCCTTGTAAATGAACCACTGCACTAAACAATTTTGCTTGTCACATGATGCTGATTTCTTTCTTTTTTTTTTTCTTTTTTTTTTTGAGACGGGGTTTCACTCTTGTTACCCAGGCTAGAGTGCAATGGCGCGATCTCAGCTCACGGCAACCTCCACCTCCAGGTTCAAACGATTTTGCTACCTCAGCCTGCTGAGTAGCTGGGATTGCAGGCATGCGCCACCACACCTGGCTAATTTTGTATTTTTAGTGGAGACAGAGTTTCTCCATGTTGGTCAGGTTGGTCTCAAACTCTTGACCTCAGGTGATCCACCCGCCTCAGCCTCCCAAAGTGTTGGGATTACAGGCGTGAGTCACCGCGCCTGGCCTGCTGATTTCAAATATGCAGCTTACCTTATGTTTTATTTCCGGCAAGATGTCCACCAGCCTCTGCAGCGTCTGATGATGGGCCCCGAGCTGCGTGGCAGACACAAGAGGTGTTAGCTGAAAAGGCAATGGATGAGGGGGAAGCTCAACCCACTGTAAATACACCACAATTTAAAAGCAATCCTTGGCCAGGCACGGTGGCTCACGCCTGTGATCCTAGCACTTTGGGAGGTCGAGGTGGGCAGATCATCTAAGGTCAGGAGTTCGAGACCAGCCTGCCCAATATGGTTAAACCCTGTCTCTATTGAAAATACAAAAATTAGCTGGGTGTGGTGGCACACTCCCATAGTCCCAGCTACTGGGGAGGCTGAGGCAGAAGAATCACTTGAACCCAGGAGGTGGAGGTTGCAATGAGCCGAGACCGTACCACTACACTCCAGCCTGTGTGACACAGTGAGATTCTGTCTCAAAAAAAAAAAAAGCAATCCTAATGATGGATCACCACTTTTTTCATTAGGAGAGCTACACCACAGCAAGCGATTACCTTTAAAAACACACCTATCACGGCCAAGCCATTCTCTCCCATGACAGCTTCCTTGTAATTTTGGTATTTCACAGAATTCCAGTGAACTAAATGCAGCTGAAACACAGTGGAAAGAGAAATCGATCGGCAAGAAGTAAGACAGTCACTTCCCTTTCTGAATGGCTGCCCTATGTGTCCACTTAATTATAATGAAAGGGCCGGGCGCGGTGGCTCACGCCTGTAATCTTAGCACTTTGGGAGGCCGAGGTGGGAGGATTACGAGGTCAGGAGTTCGAGACCAGCCTGGCCAACATGGTGAAACCCCGTCTCCACTAAAAATATAAAGATTAGGCCAGGCACGGTGGCTCACGCCTGTAATCCCAGCACTTTGGGAGGCCGAGGTGGGCAGATCACAAGGTCAGGAGATTGAGACCATCCTGGCTAACACGGTGAAACCCCATTTCTACTAAAAATACAAAAAAAAAATTATATATATATAGCTGGGCGCAGTGGCGGATGCCTGTAGTCCCAGTTACTTGGGAGGCTGAGGCAGGAGAATTGCTTGAACCTGGGAGGTGGAGGTTGCAGTGAGCCGAGATCGCGCCACTGCACTCCAGCCTGGGTGACAGAGGGAGACTCCATCTCAAACAAAACAAAACAAAAACAAAGATTAGCTGGGCATGGTGGTAGGTGCCTGTAATCCTAGCTACTCAGGAGGCTGAGGTAGGAGAATCACTTGAACCTGAGGAGTGGAGGTTGCAGTGAGCCGAGATGATGCCACTGCACTCCAGCCTGGGCAACAGAGTGAGACTCCGTCTTGGAAAACAAAAAAACAAAACCAGAGGCCTCCAGTTAAGTTTGAATTTCAGATAAGCAGTGAATAACTTTGTAGTGTAAATATGTCCCAAATATTCCATCTTCCTGATGTCAAGGCACTTGACCTTGACCCTCATCCATGTCTGCGTTTAACACTCCGCCTTTGGTTTTCCTGTGGTGGAAACATGGATCTGGAATCGTGTTCCAGTCTCTGTGTCCAAATTGGCCAGGTGACAGGGATTTAAATCGGGGTCAGCACAGGCTGGGGAAGGGGCTTTCTGAATTGCTGGCAAGCAAGAGGCAGAACTGTGATCTGGGTCCGGTTCCCCAGCTGGGCGTTCCTGTGGTGAGAGCGTGGTCTTGCCTAGAAGGGGCCTGGGCACCTGTCCATGTTTCCTTATAAGCACAGGGGATGTGGGGCAGTCTTTTATAATGGGTGCTCCAAGCCCCAAGTCCACCAGGATGGGGCACAGCAAGCCGTCAGGCTTCTTGTCCACCATTCCCCACACTGCTGGGACTCTGGGACCAGGGGCCCCCTGGAGGGCATTGGGGCCAGTGAGAACCACACAGCACCTCGACGCCAGCAGGTTCACGTGCTTCCAGATGCATCTGGGCCAGTGAAGGTGGGTGTGGGCTCTTCCTGCCACCTGTGGGTCACCTGGAATGCCATACCTGAGGCCTCACCATAGACCCCCCTCCCCCTCCCCCCTCCACCCCCAGGAAACCACACACTGCAGCATGGGCCAGACACTCAGCCAGGATGGGGGCCCCCAGCCCTTGCTCAGCCCGAGTCAGGGAGGTCCCTGGGGGCCCAAGCTTCCTGGTCTCCTTTCTCTAGGAATACATTGCAACAACCTTCCTCCTTTAAAATATCTGTTCATTGGCCGGGTGCGGTGGTTCACACCTGTAATTCCAGCACTTTGGGAGGCCAAGGCAGGTGGATCATGAGGTCAGGAGTTCAACGCCAGCCTGGCCAAGATGGTGAAACCCCATCTCTACTAAAACTACAAAAATTAGCCAGGCACGGTGGCAGGCGCCTGTAATCCCAGCTACTCGGGAAGCTGAGGCAGGAGAATCACTTGAACCTGGGCGGCAGAGGTTGTAGTGAGCCAAGATCGCACCACCGTACTCCAGCCTGTGCGACAGAGTGAGACTCAGTTTCAAAAATAAATAAATAAATAAATAAAATATCTGTTCATCAAAAACAAAGTTGCAGATAGACATACTAAAATAAAAGGCATGTTGTTAACTGAAGAGAAACACACAGAAGCCATTGTTGCACTCGCTCTTGGAACTATATATAAATATGTGTATAATTATGACAATAGATATCACTCCCTATTTAAAAAACGTCCCAAGGTCACCTCTGGGTGTGCGGTTAAAAGCAATTTTCATTTTCTGGTTTGGGTGGACTCTAGTTCCATATTAACTGCAGTGTTACTTTCATAACAACAAGTTCAAAAAACAGAAAGAGTCCTCAACTTGAAAAAGCATCAGAAAGTCAGGTGGGCGGGTGAGCAGAGGTGTGATAAAGTGAATATGGCAAAAATGGTCATCACGGGACTGAGACGTCAAACGCGTGGATTCTTCTCGTTCATTTCTTTTCATTTTTTTGTATGTTGCAAAAATTTCATAATAAAATATTTGGGGAAATCTATAAGGCATCACCAAAATGGTGGTTTTTATCACCCAGAAAAATTACAAAAACCAATTCCCAACATTGACCCACACTCATTTTCTCTACTGACTCCCACTTTGGAATGTTGAAAATAAGACTGCTTTAAGAAGATGATCTTGGCCAGTGCAGTGGCTCACGCCTGTTATCCCAGCACCTTGGGAGGCTGAGGCAGGTGGATCACTTGAGGTCAGGAGTTTGAGACCAGCCTGGCCAACATGGCGAAACCCCATCTCTGCTAAAAATACAAAAATTAGCAGGGCCTGGTGGCACGCACCTGTAATCCCAGCTACTCGGGAGGCTGAGGCAGGAGAATGGCTTGAGCCTGGAGAGAAGTTGTGTGAGCAGATGGCACAATGCACTCCAGCCGGTGACAGACGTGAATCCTGTTTTCAAAAAAAACACAAAAAAAAAAACAAACTAAACAAAAGAAGATAATCTTCTGCAAGGTGTTGCAAAGATGTTTCAGTTCTGCAGGCAGAGGGCCCTTGTGGATCTGGTAGTCCCTACAGGCTGGCCAGCACAAGGCTGGAGTGAAAGCACGGGCAAAGAGCTCAGGGCTTCTGCCTTGAATCTCAGCTGTCTGCTTGCAAAGTTCCATAAACCATTCGAAACCCTCAGTCTCTTCTTTCGCGTTGAATCAGGAGTGCTTACAGTGCCTTCTTCTAAGGCAGGTGTGAGTAAATGGGTGGTGGCCGACATGTTCTGGTTTGAGCAATGACAGTCCCAGGTTCCCCAGGAGATCCTTCCAATCTGGAGCAGCGGGCATGGGCTTGTTCACCCCCCCACATACAGCCAGGAGACAAGAAAGTCTGTATAGATACGTGCGTTAGGCCAATTCTACAAACCTCCGGGGTACGCGGGTGCCGTCCTGGTGCTCCGAGCCCGCCTGTTTCACTGCTCCCCAGTTGGTAAGTGAAATTGCTTCAGGTGTCTGTGTAGTGGTTTTCCAAGGCCACCACTATTCCTAGGAAATATAAGGGCAACAGACGTGTGTTGTCAATTTTGCGTCTGTTTGTTGAGCTGTGGTGTTACCGCTGGAGATTGTCTATGTTAGGGTTTGTTATACGTCACTCAGACAAGGGGTTTGCTATAGTGGGTTGACGTGCACAAGCGAAGGTGACTCCGTGAAAGGTGGCTGTGTCTTGCCCATTACTCTGCCCCACCAGCAGCCCACGGGCGCTGCCCCAGGAGGTTCACAGTAAATTGCGAATGAGGCAGGGTCCATGCTGCCACTGGGGTGGTGGGTGGGGGCCTCAACTCGTTGCAGACAGAATTGGTAAGTAATGTTTCTGATGATGTCTTGCCTGTCCTGTAGATTTCAGGACTTCAAATTAAAAAAAAAAATAAAGAAGATTGTTTCCAATATTTTTTAAAAAGCAGCTTAATCCTATCACCAAATAATTTTGGTAAAATAACACACAGTGATAAGGTTTTTGTTTGTTTTGGTTTATTTATTTTGAGACAGAATCTACTCTATTGCCCAGGGCTGGGAGCGTCAAGTGGCACATCTCGGCTCACTGCAAAACCTCACCTCCAGGTTCCAGCGATTCTCCTTGCCCCAGCGCTCCCAAGTAGCTTGGTTTAGGCTTGTGGGCACCGATGCCAGTTAATTTTGCATTTAAGTGAGACTGGGGTTTCCCATTTTAGCAGGCTGGTGTCGAACTCCTGACCTCAGGTGATCCACCCGCCTCTGCTCCCCAAGTGTTTACCGGGGTTTACAGGTGTGGATATTGCACTGCGTGAGGAAGGTTTTTAATAAGCGACCCTGGCTATAGCATTCAGTCCTGATCTCTCGGAGGTCCCCTGCTTAAATCTGGCCCACCACGGCCAGTTTTTATTGGGAAATCATCTCCTTCTTCCTAATCACCCTAAACATGGGCCTTGGGTCCGCGCTTCTACTGGGCAGGGCCTCGGGGTGCCTTTCCATGGCACGAGTGCAGGTGTGGCTCCCGGGGTTTGTTTGCACTGGACATGAGGACTTCAGGCCATGAGCATCACTACTGAAGGCTCCGAGGCTCTGCCTGAGAGGTCGATGGGTGGCGTTCCCCCAGGTGGGGTAGTGCTGGGATGTTCTGCTTTTAATGATGTCCCCGGGGCTCTGATGTGGGTGGCTTCTCCTGTGTCTAAGCCTTTTGTCACTAACGATTTCCATCCAATCAACTGGCTACAAATGTGTGGGTCTGTTCGAACGTGGTTTATTGAAAGGACAGTATTGCTCCGGGATGGGCTTGGCAAGGCTGGGAAGGCACTGGCAGAGCTATAGCTGCGGTCACGAATTCGAGGTGGGTCCGAGTGCCTCCATAGTCTTGTTGAGGTGCTTCGTGTACCCACCTTGCTCATGTCACCTCCACTGCGGCAAAAGCCAGAAAGCACTGAGGTTGGATGAATGCCTTGGGGAACTTGAACCTGCTGACTCCTGGTGGTTTCCCGACACCAAAAGTATGTATAATTGGGCTGGACGTGGTGGGCTCACACCTGTAATGCCAGCATTTTGGGAGTCGAGGCGGCGGATCACTTGAGGTCAGGAGTTTGGAGACCAGCCTGGCCAACATGGTGAACCCTGTCTCTACTAAAAATACAAAAATTTAGCTGGGCGTGGTGGTGGGTGCCTGCAATCCTAGCT